CAGCAATAATCACTTCACATCTATTACCATTTTTCCTGACAAGTGTTTCAACCAATCATGTGTTCTTTGAAGCAGGAACCATTTTCTATTTACCACTATACACACAGCTTTAGGGTACTATTTTTCCCCATACAACTTGACATTCTTGCTTCACTAATACTCTGATGTCTGCTCTCCAGAGATAGTAATTTATTTTTCCTCCTTAAATATTTGGCTAAAATGCATTTCTCCATTAAAATTCCCCTACTGAATTCACTTCACTGCAACACTCCTTCATTTTATCGTGCCTCAGGGATTGTAGAGGGTTCCTCCAACAAATACATTTGGTGCTTGAATGTTTAAATCTATTTCCTTCTTCTTGCTAACAACCTAAAATATCTGAGAATCACCTAAATATCATAGCAATAATTTTTAAATTAATTTCTTTTAAAACACATTTTTATATTTTGGAGAAGTTGCTCAGGCATCTATTAAATAGAACACAAGATCCTTGCCTTTTCCCAAACCAAATACCTTCCAGGAGCAAAGATCAGAAAGGAAGAGCGTCAAGTCACGAAGTCTGAAGTCTACAAAGAAAAGACTTCCAAAAAGAGAAGACTAGTGGCAAGACTGAAAGCTTAAATTCCCAACCAAGGGAAGCTCTCTCTCTCTCTCTCTCTCTCTCTCTCTCTCTCTCTCTTTCTCTCTCTCCCCTTCTCCTAATTCATCTCCTTTCTTTTCTTCCTTGTCCTAATGCTAAACAGTGCCACCCAGCTCCTTGAAAGCCTTAGAAAGCCAAAAATATCAACCTGCTCAGGAGCTTTGGGGATAGATTAAACCCATTGCATTGTAGCAGTTCTGGAGAGTAGAAAAGGAAGATGGCACACCAGGAAAGTGCTTTTATATGTATGGGTTTTTAAAAGTTAAAAGCAAGACTAAATAAGTAAATTGGAAGGGCTATGCTACATTCATTTGCACTCCTATGTTCATGCGCTTATAAGTTACTCTTCTTCTCACTAGAGCTTGTACTTTCTCTACTAGCTGACTATAAGTTCCTGGAGAGTCATGAAGCATATGTTTCTTTTTGCAGCCTTTAATTGTCCAACATACTGAGTACATAGTGTACGCATGAGAAATGTTGTTGACCAACTGATTACTAGTATTTAACTATTTTCCTCTGGCATTTTTTCAGGAATGCTTATTATTCACAAAGCATGGAATCTTGGAAGCCCAAAAGGAAGTATCCATCTGTTGTTATACATTTTCTTAGCTATGCATTATACAGAGATTTTCCTTTGGAAATATAAACAAAGATGCCTGATGAGCCAGGACAAAGAACTATATATAGAGATCAAGTGGCCGAGTAAGCAAGTCAAAACATGACTTCCTTACCAGTTTAAAGGGATCTTAGGTCTGCCTCTACCGCCTTCTCATGTTCTCCAGCCCCAAAAGAAATTATTTCCAACTGCCTATTTACTGAATCCTGAAAAGCTGAGCAGCACTACTATAGCTACAATCAGCTAATAAATCTGTGGTGATCTTAATCTCTGTTTCTATAATAATAGGAAGACTGCGCTTTGTTTAGTTTCTGAGGGAGAATAGAGAACAAGGAGAAAGAATAAGATGGGGAGGCTGTATTTATGCCTCTTTATGAAAAGTCAATCTGTGACAAAAAAACATTGCAGACAATAAGGAAGGGGAACAGATTTGGCAGAAAAGTGGCCTTATTTTTTGCATAAAGTGCCTAGCTGGTATCCTCCAGCCCTGTCCAATGTGAAATACCTGGTTTATACACTGTGAATATAGTCAATCCTGGATTAGATAAAAAGAAAAGACCCAAATCACCATTCATGTTTGGATTAATTAACAGTATCCTACTATTTATTTCATTTATAAGGTATTTATAAGATTTACGAATGTAAAGTCCTTTTTTATAACTGCATTTCTAATCCTGGGGTTTGTCCTAGAAGCCTTTTGGATATACAGGCTAGTCTGGTTGAATGGTAGATAATAAAGTACTCTGGATTCATCCTGTTATTAAGGGGAAGGTAAGGCAGCACATCTCTAACCTTCAGACGGGATGATGTCATGGAGGGCAGCCCATAGTCTTCCTATGAACCATCCTGGAGAGTTCCTGTCAAGGACAAAATTCTAAACTGAATAGACTATGGAATAACTCTCAAAATACACTCTAATGTTCAACATTATTATATTATCCATTATTCTTTCTCAGTTCTTAGTTAATGTTGTTATTTCCATTGTCTATAATTTCCTGCACATTGTATATCTATATCAGGGTGGATTTTTGCATTGTGTAATCCCTCAAAGAGTAGATACTATGCCGATGTCAATTTTCTTTGTTCCTGGTATGATTGCCATGCATAAAGAGGTATTAGTAAAAGCTGACCTTTTGTGTAAGACAATGGTTTTCATGATGGGATTTAACAAGCATTACAAGGGTGTTTCCTGAATACCTACTTTGTTGGCTCATCATGGGGCTATTCTTCCCTCTTACTTTCCTTACATGTGGCAAGCATTAGCGTCACCTCCTAAGGCTCAGGAGAGAAGAGTAACTTCATAAAGGAACTATTAAAGCATCACCTATTACTCAAAAGGCCAGAGTGAGTCCTCCTCTATTAACACAATTGATTAATTATTTTATCATGAGAGTAGCTCCTGCCACTTGAGAAGTAGGACCTGAATGAACATAAGGGATTGATTGCCAGGATGGACTGGGAAAAGCTGGAAAGAGCTATGTTTGGGTTGAGGCTGGCCAGAGTGGTAAGCTTCAGAGTGGGAAGAAGAGATGTTAGAGAGATCCTTAATGTGGATGAATAATGAATTAAACTGCTAACTATGCTATTTAACTTGGTCTGTATTTAATTAGTCTTTTTGATTAGAATTGAGGAAGTGAATATTTAATTTCTAACCACATTTTATTCACTATTAGTCTGTATTCCATCTTCAATCATGCAAAATTCTAAACAGAGGATCTGCTCTTCTCCTTATAATACTCCCTTGTCCCTTCACTTAGTGTGATTTCTTTAACTGTAATCTAACAGCATAATCAGAACTTTTGATAGAATGGAACTAAGAGAGATTCTGATTATCTGAAAATCACTCAGAAATACTTTCTATTTTGTTTGTCCCCTTTGGAAAAGATGAAACAGTAGGAGAAAAAGAACAGAATAGAGAAAGTAATTATTTCATAGAACTGTGACCTAAGAAATGAGCAAAGATACTGAAGGTCACAGAGTCAGTTTCACCTCCTCATTTTATAGTAAGGACACTGAGGCTAAGAAGCTAAATGACTTACATTCATAAACCATGTTCATAGAAGAGCCAAGTCAAGACCCAGTTTAATAACTTACATTCCAAATGTTCTTTCTTTCCATTCCTTATGCTTCCTCCCAAATCCCCCATCCATTCTGCCATTGACATGTGAGTTTAACCATTACAGAATACCACTCTGTTCCACAAATAGAGTACCCAGAGGGATTATATTGTAATAGTATGCTCATCATGTAAGTAATACACTCTATTGGAAGAAACCAAAGACATTAAGAAGTTCAAATGAGGTCCAGGAGTAGAGGCTCAGGCTTATAATCCCAGATACTTCTGAGGCAGAGATAGGAGGATCGCAGTTTTGAGGCCAGTTGACAAAAAGTTAGCTAGATCCTATCTCAAACAAACAAACCAGTTACGCAGTACACACCTATAATCCAGCTATTTGGGAGGTGGAGGTAGAGGATCACAGTCTGAGGCAGCCTGCGCAGAAAGTGGAGACCCTATCTGAAAAACAAACTAAAGCAAAAGGCTTGGGGCACAACTCAAATGGTAGAGCACTTGCCTAGCATGCTCAAGGCCCAGAGTTCAAACCCCAGTATCACAAAAAAAAAAAGAGAGTTCAAATGATTGGGGGATGTGGAGTTACTCATATAAGAGGATTCTTTACCTTATAAGAAGGCTCTACACAGTCTCTTAAATAGGAATCCCTAACTGGGATATATAGAAAATTACCTTATTGTTAAATAAAATAAACTTGAACTGTTACATTTATCTGTCACACAAGTAAATTGGAACTAGACTATCAGGCCCTAAAAAGAAACATTTTCATCCAATCATAGCTAATGAAGAATTCTATAATGTTTTATCTGACCCTGTTTACACTTTTATACTTACCATAAGTGTTGTACCACAAAATCAACACAAAACTAAATGATATAGCTGAAGGCCATGCAATGCTCTTGAGAAAAAGAAAGGAATTAACATCTTTTTATTATTATGTCCAGTCAAGGAGAGTTCAATTCCTCTTCTACTCTCTGCTCCAAGATTCAATGTTGGTAACAATTTTTTTAAAAACCTTATACTTGTGCAGGCATTTTACAAACTCACAACAAGTTTAACATAGATGTTGTTTGTCGATGACAAGAATAAGTGGAAAGGTGATGAAGTGAGACGGTAGAGTACATGGTATATCTAGGAACTAGGGCAGGGGATGAAGGGAAGAGAGGAAAAGAAGAGGAGAAGCAGCCCCAATCATATTTGTTACACACAAATAATATTGCACTAAATGACCTACCCCAAAGCCTCCAGATTCCCCAACTTGCCTATGACACCCCTGTAATCTCTTTAAAGCCATGATAATTTCCAGTTTGAAGGAAAGAAGAAACATACTTCCTGCCGTGATTTTCAATGCTATCTGCTGTTTAGAACGGAGAACGGAGCACTCCTCCGACTGTTTTCCCCAATTCATCACTGTCACCTATTTAAAAAAAAAAAAAGCTATCTGTCCCTTTCTTAGAACAAGCAATCCTAAAGGATATGAGACTTCTAGAACTACCATTCAGTCCTTCACTCCAATAACTGAGCTACACTCTGACAAAATTAAATTCCCTCCAAGATTGCCCAATCCACAGGCCCTCTGAAAGAATTGTAAATGTTTCTGTTACATACTCTCAACCTGCGGCAGATCTGTATTAGTTTGGCCATTTGATTTTTCTAGTTCACTGTTGCGCTTAACCAGGTTGGTGAGGTTCATCTCCAGAGTTTGCTGTCATTGCAGAGGTGTGAAGCCAGCAGGAAACAGGAAAAGAAGGTGAAAAGAACAATGAGCTTGAGAATCAACATCATATGGTGATCAGTCAGTCAGTGGACAATTTTTTTTTTTGCAATTCTGCGGTATAGAACCGGGACCTCACCATGCAGCCAAGTGCTTTACCATTAACCACACTCCCGAAAACCATTAGACATATTTCCAAAGATCATTAAACATGTGCTATGAACCAAGAACTGGTCTAGGAGCTAATTAATAATGATGTACCCTCTTCTCAGACTGTCATTATTGGAGAAATGGTGACATTCATGACTTTGTATATTGGTTCAGGCATATACTGACATTAAAACAAATCATGTTTTATAATATTAAATAAATTCTAACTTTTCAAAGTCATTTCATGGTTAAATCTCATTTTCCTCTCAAGAAATCCTATAGCATATAAACAGGTATTATCCTCTCTTTTACAGATAAGTAGAGTAAGAAAACTGTATTTTATTGAATGATTACTACTTGCCAGACACTACGCCAGGCAATTCCCATATATACCATTTAATAATCATGAAAAGCTCATGATTTTTTTTTCTGATGAGAGAACTGAATTTCAGAGTGACGGTAAGGTTTTTCACAGTCATGTAACTAGTAGGCAGTGAATCTAGGACCGGAGCAAGGTTCTCTAGTCCCCTATTTTGACCCAGTAATCTATAACTTTTTGTCTTTTTGTTGATAACATTACATAATTATTAATAGGCTCCTTCAGGGAAAATGGAGATAGTATTTTGATTGTGAGATTTGTAAAAATCAGACATTGAATCTCACAGCTTTCTTTTCTTCGACACTAAGGCATTGCCCAAGAAGATGCTGGGCTTCAAATGCAAAGCATGATTGTATCAGGAAAGGATATGAATAGCTTACCATCACTTGTTGGTACACAGATTCTTTTACATACACTTAGAAGCACTTAGAAGATCTGTTGAATATAATGTAGTTACAACAGTACTCAGAACTCTAGCACATTTTCAGTAGAGCAAGCAACTCTCTCCCATTCCTTATATGAAAAATAAAATAATATTTCACTCTAGATTGATCATGGATTTTTTTTATTCTTCCTATCCCCAAGTCTTAAATCTGATAGCTGCTTCTCCCCCAGAACCTATCCCAATATCTACTACTTTCTCACCCACCATCCCAACACCTTTATGGAGTCTGTTTCAAATGTAATACCCAACCTACTAGCCCTTATTCTGCTAGGATTCCTTTCCTTGGTCATGTTTGTTGCTTCATTGCTGTCTCCATGGTTCCTATGATTTGTAGTTGTTCAAAGTTTATGCTTTGGAAGAGAGGATGGGAAAGTCACTGGAGAGTGGGGGGAACATGGACAAAGAGAAAAACAAACCGTGTTCTTGGCTCCTTTCCTGTCTATTAAGTAGCTGTAGCTCCTTAATAACCTTGGCACTATTCCCATGAATATATCTCAAAGGATATATTCACATAGATATATGTATGTCTAGACTAGGTAGTCTGATTTCACTTGTTCTTAAACTGAATTTTGAAAACCAGCTTAACCCTTGTTTCCCTTCTTGGCAGATCTCTCTTGGTTTATTTGGCCTTATTCACCATTTATTCCATTTTTCTTGGTTTAGGAGTGTCTCCCCAGACTTTCTTTAATCCCACCACCATTTCAATCTGTGGTCTCTTTAGCAAGGACAAGGGGAGGGAAGAAGGAAACAAAGGAGGGCAATAATCATTGATTTGGGCATGATCCCTAAGCTAAACAATGTGAGAGGAAAAAAAGAATTGGCACTTCATCTGGACCCCAGTGGCTCATGCCTATAATCCTAGCTACATGGGAGGCAGAAATCAGGAGGATCGAGGTTCCAAGCCAGCCCAGGCAAATAGTTCTCAAGACCCAGTCTTGAACAAACTCATGACAAAAAAGGGCTGGTGGAGTGGCTCACGGTGTAGGCCCTCAGTTCAAAACCCAGTACCACAAAAAAAAAAGAATTGGCATTTCAGAGATTTCTATTGAGCATCTACTCTATTTTCAAGTTACAGAGACTTCACAGATAGAGAGGAGATGAAATTAAGATGTATGTTGAAAGATAAGTAGGATTTTAATAGACAGAGATGGAGGAAAGCAGGGTGTTCCAGACACAAGGAGTAGCATAAGCAAAAGTAAAAGTGAATAAAGTAGACAGGCACAACAGTGGTGCCCACCTGGAGTTCCAGCTACTTGGAGGGCTGAGGTAGAGGATTGTTTGAGCCCAGGAGTTTGAGGCTAGCCTGGACAACATAGTGAGACCCTGTCTCAAAACAAACGAATAAAGTATTGGGCATGTTCAGGGAATGGTAATTTTAGTTTAGCTTGAAGAGGACACAAAGGGAGTAGTTAGGGACAGAAATGGAGATCAAAGTCCTGTTATAAAGGCCTTGAATACACATGTAGGTGGTGTTACGCCTAGTTTTTAGCATTAGGGTCTTAGCAAAAGCTGTTGAGCAAGGCAATGACATTATCATGCCTGCAGTTAGGACATTAACCTAGTAGCAATTGTGTAGGGCAGCCTGAAACAGGAAAGCCTAGGAGGGAGGGACACTGGATAGGAGGAGGCTAAAATATTCAATGCAGTTGTTAATGCAGGCCTGGCCAAGTTTAAAGAATAATCAAGAGAAATGTGTCTCAAGAAATGATTTGTCAGGGGCAACCCATTCAGGACCTCTCCCTGTCTCTTGTAGGAGCTTTGTCTCTCTCTTGATAAACTTCTTGCAAAAAAAAGAAAAAGAAAAACAACAAACAAAAAAAGAAAAAGAAGTGATTTGTCAGAAGGGGTTAAGAGAATATAACAGAGTAGTGAACTTGTTTAAAGTATACTGCATGCAACTATGGAATTATCACAATAAAACCACCTTGTGCTATTAAAGTATGCTAATAAAATAAGTTGTTCACATAAAAAGAAAGGATTTGTCACTGTCAAATATGCAGAGAGCACAAGAAATACAAGACTGATAAAAGGCATCTGGACTTAGTAATTAGAGGCTATAGGTAACCTTTGAAAAAGGAATTTCAGTAGGATTTTGGAAATAGATGCCAAATCATACAGGGTTAAATAGTATGTCTTGAGTGACAAAGTGGAGGTTACAAGTCTGCACTCATCTTCAAAAGTCTGGCAGTAAGGAGAATATGATAGAGCTCAATTTGAACAAATGGTCTAGCTCAAGTTAGAGAGTGGGAATTTGTAAAAAAACCAAATGATTTCTTCTAACAGAGTAATCCAAATTCTCAGCAATGGAAATTCCATGTATCACAAATGATTATATTGACATATAAGTAAACAAAATGTAGATTGATGAACTCAGAGTGGAAGCAATATTAGAAATCCATGCTTCCAACTGTAATGTGTTTCCATTTAAACATGGGATTCTACCAGGGGAATGTTTTTAACAAGTACATGTGACCTGTTGCAACACCAGTTCCTGAAATTGATATCTCATAAATAATTCATGGTGCAGAGCAGGACTATGATCCCTGCTGTGTGTTCCTCACTTATGGCTCTGAACTGAGACTTACAGCTTTTATAAAGCCACTGAATGCAAAAATTAGGGCTGAACACATAATTTGGGGTCTGGTTAGACTACGGGCCTTGGGTTACCATCACAAAATTATGGCAAATGGTTACTTTGCTGTGGCCCCTAGCAATCTGCAGAATGCCTGCACATTTTAACAACACAGAACTAGAACTGACAAGATGACTCTAATTTCAACCTTGCTTCATTAATATGAAAATGCTTTGAAAAATAAATCTTTGGCTAATGAAAACACCATCTGTTGATGGCTTTTTGCCACTGTTTTCTTACATTATGAGACATAATTTGAGGAAAACACTGAACATTTACTTACTCACTTCCTATTCATTTACAAGGAATTAAAGCCTCCTCTCAAATTGGAATTGATTCTCAATAATGAATGTATGCAAAGGGAAGCAGAGAATTGAAGTAATTATGCAGTCTATTTCCTTACCCCTTCCTTATCATGCTTAACACTGACAAGTCTTTTAGAACTAAAATTTCTGGGCCAATCTAAGTTTGAATGATTTGATTGATTTGGCCAAGTAATTATCTTGTCTATACTCTGGCTGAGTAAACAAAGAGCATTTGTATGTGTGTGAGTGCATGTGTGCGTGTGTGTGTGTGTGTGTGTGTGTGTGTGTGTGTGAAATCTCTTTATGACAAAATAAACATGTCTCTTTGTTGTTATTCAGTTTTGAAGAATTGGCTTGTTTTTCTCTTTTCTTATACAGTCCAGTTAATGACTGGGCCAGGTTCCCTCTGTCCTAGCCCAGTTAGTATGACTTTCTCAGAACAGTTGAACTGTGATAGCAAGTTAGCCAAAGTGGCAGAGGAGATTGTAATGGAGATATCTGCTGGGAGGAAATGGGGACAGGAGATTGGCAGACAGAGCAGGATGAAGCTCCCATTTCCTGCTGCAGGAGGTTACCTCTACATTCTTCTCTGCTTCCCTTTTGTGAGGGGTAGAGAAGCCATTTAGCTTATGAAACTGTGAGACTCTCTTCACCTTCAGATAACACATCATTCTGGCTCTCACAAAATTGTACATGTGTCTAAACAGCACAAAGTGAAGGGAAGATTTGCATTACTGAGATTTTAAAAGGCCTGCGTTAGCTAAATTGGCAGTGTACACTGATTCCATTTTTACCTAAGTTCCATTTCATTTGTGTTGTATGGATTTGGCTTCTTTGAGCTCTGTAGTTACCTTTCCCAAACATGAACATGCTTTGCTATCTGAGAAGCCAGGCACAGGCCATTCTTCCAGACAGGATTCCATTTTTTAAAAATGGCCTCCCTAATCCTCTCAAATAATTGCTGTTGTTTTTTTTTTAACTTCTGTAGACACAGATTATTTAGGGTTGCTTTCTCATTCAAGAAACCTAGTCACATATCAAAACATCCGCTCCCCTTTACCGTGTGAGAGATTACTCTTATGGCACAAACTGGACCCTGATGTGCACTCATCATGCTCTGTGAGGCCAAAGGTATTCACACACATGAACATACTTACAAACGCTGACCTGACACAGTAAGTTTTGAAGGCTAAAACGGCCTTTCTTCTTGCTCTATTGAAACAGTTAGTATTGCCATTGAATGCCTGTATTCTCTCTCACTTTCCGAAAGATGCAAGAGGAACACTACTTAAACCTAGGCAAGCCTACAATCTTGGGGTTTTGATGTGAGAATTTAACCTTAGGATAAAGGATGGAAGGGAGAAGTGAAGAAGGAAAGAAAAGCCCAAACATGTCTCCCAATTGACAGAAGACAACTTCATCTTTAAAAATAATCTGAGCCACTGACCCCATTCCTATTCTTTGGCATCCTCTTTTTTTTTTGACATTCTGTCTATACACTGGCATCCCATGTTCTTCCAAAATTCAGAAGCAAGAATTTTTACATGTTTGGGGAGTCACATTCTACCTTCTTTTTTAAATGCTTGTCTTAAAATACTTACTTTGCTTTTGCTTCAGTCTGTCACTTTATGTATCAATTACATATGGCCTTTCAACAACAGAACACACCATCTGGTCCACAAACTGAAGCTCACACTCTTCTGCCAGAGCTTATTCTTTTTCCAAACATTTATTTGCTGTTGTATAGACACAGGCTACATCCCAGAATGAAATGCAGGTGATATACTAGATGTGTATCACATAGGTCCACTCTATTTGAGGCTTATTAGAGAATGACCAGATCCCTCAAGCTAGGTGAAACAGGTTGTTGTCCCTCTTCTTTGCAGAAGTCCGTGCAATCATTGAGCAAAGACCCTTCTCTCCCCCCCCCATCAGGAATGCTGCCCAAACCATCCTTCATTCTGCCCCCAGTTTTGGATGCATTGCACAATTAAATCGCTAGCTTAAATGGGCAAATTATTATTTGGACCTTCTAAAAGAAAACCTAAATACA